CACTCCCCTCTTCGATTTTAAGCACTGCACAGCGCCCTTCTCCTCCCTCAAGTCCGAAATTCTCCACTTTTAGTCTAGATTTACAAAGCTACTTTCATACTTTAGATTAGTATTATTTCTCGGAGTTTTCACGGAGCAAGTTGTAGCCCGAACCTCCAGTTCTTCAGATTTGTTGAAGTAAGTTTGTCACTCTTTACTTTTAATTGAAAAATGTCTACTTATGATGCATGTGTGTTGAAGGTTTTTATTATGAGTAGCTAAATTGATTAGGGATGTGATTATTGGAATGGTGATGGTAACTTTCTGAAAAAAACATTGAGTTGAATTTTATTATTGTCAAGATAATTTACTAGTTTATTATTACTGAGAATTTATACTAAAGATTTGTTAATCGAGAGAGAGCAAATCTATTCTTGAAAATTATATTTCCTGAGAAATTTGGAATCTAGTTAAGTCAAGTCCAGTAATTCTGATAATTAATCTTTAGACATTGGATTAATTGTTAAGTAAATATTTGAAAAGATGTTTACTTACTAGTAAAAAGATTTAAAGTAAAAGTAACCGGTGATTTTTCTCTAAAAAAAACCATCACCTAACCAATAATTGCATCCCTACTTTTTATTCCTGAAAGGTAAAAATTCAATCTCCATCCCTTATTCGACCTTTTGAAAACTTTTTGATTCAACGAGTAAATCTTGTCTAGCTAGTCTCGCTAACTTTCCCTTGGGCCGATCCTTGAGACGACACAGGATAAAACTGATCTTTTAAAGGTCTAGTCTGTTCCCTTTACTACTACGGGAATTTTGAGTTAAACCCAAAATTCCTCATCAAATGGCGCCGTTGCCGGGGATCGGCGCAGAAAGTTATTAGTGAAATTACTTTTTAGTTAGCCTGAAAGAAAGTTGATAGAAACGATTTTCATATTAAATATATATATATATATATATATATATATATATATATATATATATATATATATATATATATATATAAATTTTCAATTATATTTTTAAGCTTAATTTGTTAACCTTTTATTTCCATTTATTAAAGGCTTTTCTTAGTTCAACTTTTATCTTCGAAAAAAAAAAAATAATAATAATAAAAAAAATAAGATATCATTTCTCTCTGTTTAGTTATCATTAGGTAGTTGTTTAGGATTCTTTTTCTAGCCTTCAAAATTGTATGAACACTCGTTCTCGCGGTGAGAACATTCTTCTGGGAACCAAAAACCCCGAACTTTTGCTCTGGCGTCGCACCGTTAAAATCCACCGTCAACTCGAGTTCCACGACGAAGAGCAAAGAAGAGAAGAAGAAGAGGAAGCAAGTCACGAAGAAGAGAACCAACACTCAGAAGAAGAAGAGGAAGCAAGTCACGAAGAAGAGAACCAACACTCAGAAGAGGAAGAGGAGCAAGAAATGGCGGCTAATCCTAGACGAACGATCCTTCAAGCCATGAGCCCGGCGTACGTAGAGGAAGATCCCATAGGCCTCCCTGCTAGTCAAGCCCATTCGTTTGAAATCAAACCAGCAATGATCCAAATGGTCTCGAATAACCAATTTGGAGGCTCGAAGGCTGAAGATCCAAGGGCACACATGCTATGGTTTTCAAGGACCTGTCAAACATTCCAGTCCAATGGTCTATCTATGGATCATGTTAAACTGTCGCTCTTTCCCTTTTCCCTCCGGGATCAGGCAGCTAGATGGTTAAACACATTCCCTAATGGCCATTTCAAGACCTGGGAGGCGTTGCACCAGGCATTCATGCACGAATATTTTCCACCCTCTGCCATGGTAAAAATAAAGAACTCCATCCAAAACTTCCGACAAGCGCCTATGGAATCAATGAGCGAAGCATGGGAAAGATTCAAGGAGTTGAAGGTTAAATGCCCACCTGCTTTGATTGATTCCGATAGTTTGATGTTCTACTTTTACCAAGGCTGGACAGTTCCATCCAAGAAAGAATTGGACCACTCTTCTAAACTTGGTTCTTTTCTGGAGATGACACCCGAGGAGAATGAGGAGTTGGTAGACAGGCTTACATCAAATGCTAAGTATTGGTACGAAGACCGAGCTCCTCCTCCTAAAGCTGGCATGTATGAAGTAGACCAATTCACAGCACTCAAGGCTAGTATGGAGAGCATCGTGAAACAAACTATCAAGGAGCACCTAGGAGCTTCCCACCCACGTCCCAATCTGTATACTGAACCAGTGAATCAAGCTGAGCTTTATGGTTCTGGTAGTCACCACCAATCCGACCTTGTCTTGTCTTGTGAACACTGCTTTCAAAATCATCTATCTTCTGCTTGTCCCTTGATTGAACCACCCCGAACCACCCCTTCCGAGCAAGGCTAAGGACGTTAATCTAGCACAATACGCGAATAAAGGGGAAGGGCCTTGGGCCCAGAACAATCAGGAGCATTGGCGGGAGAGAAACAATTTTCCAAGGAACAATCGTCCCAGGGATGACTATAAACAAGGTAACTGGAATAACAATAAAACCAATTACCAAAATACCAACGCACCCTACGTTCCACCTCATAATCGCCAACCTCCGCAAGAAGATTCCTTGGCAAGGATGGAAAAGATGATGATGGAATACATCCAAAAGATGAACAATCAAGAAAACTGCCGATCTGCAACGGACAAATTTCGTGGCAGATTTTGAAATTCTGTGGCAGATTTTCATTCTGCAACGGATCTGCTACGAAATCTTTCCGTCGCAGAAAAGTTGTGGTAGATTTAAAATCTGCGATGGAATTTAAATTCCGTGGCAGATCTGCAACGGACCTGCAACAGAATTTCCCTTTTTTCATCGGATGTAATCTGCGACGGAAATTAGGAACCGTTGCAGATCTGCGACCGAATTAGCAACGGACACCTCCGTCGCAGATCTGTGACAGAAACAGCAACAGATGGTTCCGTCGCAAATATCTAGATGATCAACCTGGATTTTTCTGTTTTTAGGCATTAGATACTAAAATGGGAGGCAAAACACATTCAATTTTCACACACATTGATAATTCAAAACTACATTAATGAAAACTTCACGTGCAAATGTAACATAATTCATTATATTCTAATAATGAATATTAAAGTGTTAGTGTCAAGCGTTTAAAATGGAGGAAGCTAAGGTCGTAAAAGTCTCAACAAATCTCGAGCTGTCCTGCACCTCCTGTTCCATCATCATCGCCTCATCGAGGAAGGATACCACCATATAGCTTCTTTATCTCCTCTTGAATCGTCATTGACAAGCTCGAGGTTAGATTATCACGGCCCACGACTAGCGAATACCGTATTTCTTGGTCAGTGACTTGCAGCCCTTTCTGTCTAGCCTCCTCGCGCAGTTCGAAGAATTGAGCCTGAATTGAGCCTGAATACAAGTTTTTTGCTTCCACCTATCAACAAGTACAAGAGAAAAAAATACAAAATTAGAAGAAATAAGTAAACAAAAAATACTTCAAAAATTCCATATATTCAAAAAATTGCTGATTTTTTAAAAAGAATGCAAATCAGATCAGGTTTTTTTGCAAATTACATACATAATGCATCAAAATCAACATATGAACTTCATGTTATGCTTCAAGAATCAGCCCATGTGCTTTATATTGAGATTAGAGTTCATATTCAAGCAAATAAGCACTTCAAAGGACACAAAATCAGCATTAAAACAAACCTAAATTTTGGACTTGAAGGCAGTTCCCTTGAAAGCTTGATCGTGGTTTTCCTCTTCATTACAAATGATGGTTTTCTGGTGGATCTTGCAACTTGCACTATGATCTACTCACACAAACACCAAAAGACATACATAGTATTCACTTTCACACTTTACTAGCCAACAAAGAGAAGGGGAACCGTGGGAGATGGACGCAAAAGAGTTACATGTTCTGCGGGAAGAATAAAACATTAGCATGGATTATATTATTAAAGAATAAGATCATGAATCACATACTCTAAATTGTAGCTGAATATCCTTCTTATCAAATGATTTCCCCAATGAGGATGTCATGCCCAACACGAACCAGCTTATACATGGTCATTCCATCAGCAACAACAACTGGGCCTAACACTTGCACAGAGAGGTTAATGCTAATAGGGAAACTAGAAAAAACATGTAGAGTTGTTACATGCTGATTAGAACATAGTGCAGTTACATTACAAGAAGACAAGGCTAAAATACATCAAATGAAACATCTTAAATGCTATCAATTTCACAAAATTGAAGTAAATTTTACATCAATTTCACATCTCAAATGAAACATCAAATGAAGACAAGACAATGCTATAATGCACTCAATTTCACAAAATTGAAGTAAATTTTACCTAAATTTCACATTAAATGTTAAATTAAATGCTATCAATTTCACATTTCAAATGAAACATCAAATGAAGACAAGACAAGGCTATAATGCACTCAATTTCACAAAATTGAAGTAAATTTTACCTAAATTCTCATTAAATGTTAAATTAACAAACACAATTTCAACTAAAATTACAACTTAAATGCTATCAATTTCACGAAAAACTAATACAACTTTTACCCAATTTCATGTCAATTTCAACTCATATTCACACAATCTCAACTAAATTTCACCAAAAATGCACTCAATTTCAGACAAACAAATTCAATTTTACCAAAAATTACAATAATAATAAATTATATAATACTCGTAGTAAACAAAAATACCATATCTAGAAATTCACGGTAAAGAGGACCGGTGGTTGA